TTCTTGGGGCTGTTGGTTGGCGCGCGAGGTGCCCCACAAGGTCATTTGCATGTCCTGGTAATTTAATGTTGTATGCCTGTGCGAATCTTTGGATTTCAGTTGTTACATGGGGGATTTTCAGGTCGGTGTGGATAGAATCGTTGCTTATATACCATGGTGCGTCAGTGATTATTCTGAGTATTTTAGATTGTATTCTTTGTATGATTTTTGTATGGGATGCTTTTGCACAGCCCCAGAGTTGGACACCATATGTCCAAATGGGCTTTATGATTGTTTTATAGAGCAGGACCTTGTTGGATAACGATAGCTGCGAGCGCCTTCCTATAAGCCATTGCATCTGTTTTAGTTTCAAGTCTATTTGTTGTCTTTTTTTCTTGATATGCGCACCCCAGTTGAGTTTTTCGTCAAGGTGCATACCTAAATATTTTATTTCGGACTTAGTTGGGATTTGGATGTTGTTAAAACTAGTGGGAGGGCACGCAAGTCTTCTATTGGTGAAGGTTATTTGTGCTGACTTGTCGCTGTTTACTGTGACCCTCCATTTGTTGGTCCAGTCTTGAAGGAGGTTGAGGTGGTTCTGTAAATGATTTGCCGCTGCTTCAGGTGATTCACTGGTTGAGAGGATGGCTACGTCGTCGGCAAACATGGCAATAGTTGTGTTATTCGTGGTTGGTGAGTCACATGAGTAGATCAGGTAGAGTAGAGGGCCTAACACACTTCCTTGCGGTACTCCTGCTTTAATTTGATGGTATTCCGAGGCTGAGTTATGTACTATAACTTGAAAGAATCTTTCGGTGAGATAGGATTTTAGAATTAAATAGATCTGAGCTGGGAATTGTAGTTTGATCTTGAACAGGAGGCCATCATGCCAAACCTTATCAAAGGCTTGCTGTATATCTAAGAAAGCAGCTGCAGTTAATTTTTTTGTTTCAAGACTTTCTATTATTTGATTGACAATCCGGTGGCATTGGTGTATCGTCGTGTGGGCTTCACGAAAACCGAATTGGAAGGTCGGAATTATCTGGTCGAGATTAACAGTTTCTTTAATTCTCTTCAGGAGGAGTTTTTCAAAGAGTTTGGATAGTAGAGGCAATAGGCTTATCGGCCTGAAGGAAGATGGGAGGTTGGGTGGTTTGCCAGGCTTTGCGATCATAGTGATCCTAGCATACTTCCATTGTAGTGGGAAGTACGATAATCTCAGGATACTGTTGTATATTGTGGTGAGGAGGACAACTGCTTTTCTTGGCAGATGTTGCAATACTTCACCTACGATCAAGTCATAGCCAGGGGCTTTTTTTTTGTTCGTGCGGTTGATTTGCTGGCGTACTTCTGACGGAGAGAATGGTTGAAGAAATTATTCTCATATACAGGGTGTCTCGTCATTATATTTGGTGTTTAGGCAGAAATAACGTCTAAATAACGTTGTTTACACAACAGTATTTACATTTTCCCTTCTAGATATAACAATCCTCAATTGCGGGGGTTGTAACTTTTGTAGTACGCCAAATATTTTTGTATGTCGATGTGATTTGAATGGTGAAAGAGCAACACTCAAAAAAAAAAAAAAAATGACGTAATTGTTTAGAAAATTCACGCTTATAGATATTATGATCCATAATTGCGGGAGTTATAACTTTTGTGATACATGATGCCGTTAATTAGCGATGTCTATGAGAAAGCAAATGAAAAAAAGCGAAACAATTCCCCCCTTAAGTTAAAACGTAACTTGCAAAAATGCGAAAGGCAGAAAGGAAAAGGATTTCTTACGTTTCGGTAAAACACCCCAAAGAGAAAAAAAGATCTTTTCTAAACAACGGATTTACCTTTTATAAAATACGGCTATGCCACGGAGGGAAATTTCAAAAATTCTTTAATTAATTTAAAAATCTGTAATTGGTCCCAAAATTCAAATCAATTAAGAGCACTTCTTTTGATACCCCACGCGACTATGGGGAATGACGTTTACTGCGGCGAACTTTCTCCGGAAGCTCGCGTACCAAGAGTGGCTTCGGTTCTCCTTCACAAAAAGAACGCAACTTAAACGATGTAATTACAAAATGAAATTTATTTACAGTAATCAGAAGGTTTTGGGAAATCCTGCTTCTAGTCAGGATTCGGAACGATGGTGTCGGGTGCTCCACGTAACTTAAACGGAGAACGCAAATGCAAAGAAACACATTTATTTAGTTACGGTTATTTTCACTCACTTAATTGGCTGTATCCAAATTTCCAGAATTGGTATTCCAATTAACACCCTTTCCCCATTGAAAGGTCGGAATCAACCGGGTCGACGCTAAGAGGCATGGCCTAATATATTAGGCCATGCTAAGAGGCTCATAAGTAGAGTGCGGACTTATGGAATTTTGCCTACACGTTGCAGAACATAATGGTTTTGGATATACACGTTTCATGGAAAAAGAAAGCGTTTGAGGCTATTTTTATTTTGCCTTTTTTGCTTTTTTTTAACAATGGTGCTTTAAATGCCTTTAATCGCTTTTTTTTTACATTTCTACACTGAGATTAGAATAACATCTCGCATATTACCTTATGTGGGCAAGAATGTTGGGATTTGCATTTTTTTAATAAATAGCGCACTGTAAAAAATTAGAATTAAAATCATTTCAAAAAGACACAAATAAGATAAACGGTCCCATAGCCAATATAGTTCAGAAAAAATTCTGGTTTTCATATTCTTTCGAAAATCTCCAAAAGCCTAAACGGAAATTTCGTTGAAGATTTAGAAGCACATACTACAGCACCATTAAACGTCTTTAAATTTGCATCAATTACCTCTCCAGATGTCGAGAGAAGCTTTTCCGTCTATAAAAATATTTTATCGGACCGAAGGCAACATTTTTAATTGCAAATTTGGAGAAATACATAATTGTTAATTGTTTTTCCGATAATTAGAATTAGTTTCATCATAATCATTTTTATTGAGGAATCCAGGTTTTTTTGTGTGGATGGTTGATGGTGCATTTGTTTGCTTACTTTGCCTTTTTTTTAGCTTTTTTTTGCGCGTTTTAATGCATATAATAAACGCTTATTTTATAAAAATAAATGCATTTTTATCCGCAATCTACTCATAAGGGTTCTACTGGTATGGCCTTGCAGTTCCCATGTCCGCTTTAAATTTACCATAGAAAAAAACCTGCTAATAACGGCTTACCAGGTCTGAAATTCTGAAAAACTAATTTGCCCTCTTTTTTTCTGGGAAGAGAGCTTTCGGTGGCTGTAAAATCAATTTAAATATTCTACAGAAACTGTTACAAAACTGATAAGTGCGTTATCGACGGTAAGACAAACAATTAAACAAAATGAAAACACACAAAACTCACTCTTCGTCTCTTAGAGCAAGTAAGTTAATTCAGAAACTACTTAGTAACGAAGCACCCAACTTAAAACGCTTCTAGATATCGGGTGTTCAAGCTGATCGACTTCAGAAATATACCGTGTAATCGTAACTTCGGGTATGAACTCGTTACATTACATTTATTCAGGTACTGTTAATTTCATTTACTTAATTAGTCGGATTGAAATTTCTAAAATCGGTAGTACAATTAACACCTATTGTTAATTGCAATGTTGGCATCAATCGATAGGCTCAATTTTAGGCAGGGGTGCATCAACTGTTTTTGTTTCTGTTGATATTATTCGAACGAACCTGTTCCATTTAGAGATTTTCTTTGATAAATCCGTCAAAAGCAATGTAACAATAGTGTTCAAACACGCCAATTGTGTGCAAGTCTTACAATTCATCCAGCTAAAACAAAGTTATCATCCCCTTAATAGTGAAAACACCTTACAGTCTTCTCTAACATCGATTTGCTGCTAAGAACAATATACTTATTACTGAATCCTGCATCCGCATTGATATTTCCACTATTGTAAAAAAGCGACAAGCTAGAAATACGTTATGCTTGACTCAAATTGTAGTGATGTAAAGAAGCATTTAACATGCGAAAAATACAGTGTCTCTTTGAAAGCTTTCATTGGGTTTTATAGGTACAAAAGCATAGTGAACTATTCAAACTCGTTTCTATATAGAAATGACAGTGGCATCAAACTCCCCAGCTGATATGAAACCATCCTCAAGCTTCATTTATGGACAACTATTGAGAGGTTATTTCATACAAAGGCATATAAAAAAATAATTTATTGGCACAAGAGGATCCTGTAGAAGTATAGATGGAGTGTCACTATGGATTTTCGGATAGGTATACATACTTTGTTCTACCACTTAGGGTTTCACTACCGAAACAGTTTTCAGGATTTTACTATACCTTTTACATTCAATTAAACGAAGCCTCCATTTCGAAGTATGAACTCTTGACTGTGTTAACCAAATTGGTCAAATTAGATTAGAATGCGACAGCGAAATGGTAATTAATGAAATTAATTCAAATTCTAAAACAACTTTCCATTTAACTTCTCCGCAATCGATTCAGCATTTAAAGATTTAATTCGTTGGATAAGAATTGTGATATATTCAACGGCTTTAAATGAAATCAGATTTTGCGCAATTTAGACTAGAACTTTCAAAATTGATTGAGAACGATTTATGTTTAATGAAAGTTACCGAAACTTAACAATTAGATCGGAAATTTTGTAGTTTCTTTCACACCAGAAATTATATTCACATCATTATCCTTAGAGTGTTGCAGGTTTATTTGTAGCAATTCGTCGGGGTAGTTTAGAAACGCTGAAGCGGAATAACGATGCGGAATGTAGGGAGATATTAAATTAAATTAGGAGGAGAATGTTTCGTTTAATGCAACTGATTGCAGTAATAAATTAGATGCATTTCATATACATAATTAAAATAAAATGGCTCCCGGTTCGTAGCGCCATTCGTTAGTATCTTAATTGGATTGTGTTACCATGTTCTACTTCTGACGCAGTCCCATAAACTCATGAATAAGCAACGCTCTACGTTTTAATGTTCCTTAACGTGCATTAGCACTTTTTGCTATCATCCTCAGTCGGTAGTAGGAAAAATCAATAGTCTAGCACCAATAAAAGGTGCCCGTGGAAGCTTTTATTTAACATTAACTTTAAACTAAACTAGGAAAAAATCAGGACCAGTCCAACTACCACAGGTAGGAAAATTGTTTGGTTTCGTAACCATATCACAGGTACCACCCACTTGGAGAACAACGTCCATTCCTCTCGACCACTGCTCCGAGTGCTCATCCCTTATCATCCAATAACCTGCAAAACACATAATTATCCACGCGTTATAAACGCATCCTTATACCTGGATTATTCGCAATAAACCTTACGACAACCACTCCATTTTTCGGAACACGTACAGTGTCCTTTATCACAGGTTTTGCAAAATTTCTCTTCAGTAACAATCCTTGATCATTTAATCCTTTCAAATGGTCAAGATTTGGTGCTTTCTTAAACTGCTTGTACCCAACCACGTAAAATCGGTAACCGTGTAAATGAAAAACGGCCTCCTGAGCGTCGCTCCCTGAGAAACATTTAAAAGCCAACCTTTCTGGTCGATTGCACTTACCCAAATCGGCGAATACTAGCTCGACTGATGCACCCAGAGTAATCTGTTCAATGTGAACACATTCGCATATCTCCATATCCTTACACTGTCTTGGTTTCGTTGCGGAACTGCAAATGCTTGCTTTGTTCACGTCTCCCTTTTGAGTGAGTAAAGGAGAAGAGGGATAAGTGAATGTAAGGTTGTTCATTCTGTACACTTTCTGTGTATCTATCAAATACGTTTACTACAAAAAGTTACGGTGTCACCACTTACCGTTTGAACCGTGGACACTCTTATAGTCAAAACCCAAGAACACTGTCTCGTCCACTTTCTTCACTAAGTCCGATGGAATATTCTCCAACGATTGAATACCATTAATACACACTCTGTCCACTGATGATTCGCAAGCGGCGGTTTCCATTCGTAAATCTACGGGTGGGCTCTTAGGGTAGTAACGTTGAAGCGCATCGTTCGCCATACTTTTGTACTTAATGGCTGCTTCAGCGGTCACGGCACATTCCGAGGTGACTTTCAAAAAGTAGCTCTTCGGCTCTTGCTTGGTTGACACGACGAAATCTACTCGTTCGCCCTTTGAAAAACTAACAGAAGTGACTTTCTGCGGGTTAATTGCGTAACCATCCAGCGCCACAACGTTGAGCGGATGTTTATCGACCGACACTGTAACTGGACAGCTAGCGCTTCCGCCTGAGTAAATCGCCCTAAACCGATACCTTTTCCCCCAATCGACCCTGATTACGTGTTCACGCGCAGCTTTTCCGTTTATCATCAACGATCTGGACGCGTCTGTGGAAAGTTCAACGTTCCTCTCCGAAATGACGAGAACCTCGTCGGCATCGTAGAGGTTTTTTAACGGGTCGAGTTTTCCCGCCTGGTTCACTACCAGGGCGCCGAAAATTCCGTCCGAGAATTTGGCGCCGGCGTGCGCGTGCCATATGTGCGTTCCGGGCATAGACGCCCTAAATTTGTACTGGAACGTGGTGTAACTCGAGATTGGGCACTGGGTAACCATCGGGACGCCGTCCATCATCGGGGCCTCGACCTGCGGCTGCCCGCGCCAGTGGATCGTCACGCTTTGGCCGGGAATTCTGTTTATCACATCGACGACGAGAATGTCATTTTGGCACACGTGGATTGTTGGGCCGGGTAGTTGGCGATTTACTGCGATTACGGTGGTTTGGAGATCATCTTCTAGGCTGCAGTTGTTCGAGCGCCATTGAAACCTGGAGCATACACGTTTAGAGGATCTAGTTGTAATTTAGGTATCTGTACTTACCTCTGGATGGTGTTGTAGTTTTCTAATGTGAGTTTGATTCTGCAGATCATTGGCCAATCCAGATCGTGGCAAGGTCGGTTACAGTTGAGAAAAATTTGATCTGTAAACAAGAGACATCTGTAGATTTAAAAATAAATTACATTACAGAAAGGGTTTCGGGGTTACCACTTTATAGTACTCCACGGTGATCTAAGCATAAAGTCGTGCGTGCACTTTGAGGCTAAAAATGAAAAACATCATACAGGGTGTAACTTAAAGAGGTAGCTTTCAAAGTTTTAGTTCGAATCGAATGAATCAAAGACATTAAATGCTTTGGAAAAGAGTGCCACATTTCAAATACTTTAAATTATCATCCCTGCCAAAGAATACTGCAATCCGTCAAACGTTTTATTAAATTCCGTGTGCGTGTTAAATCGAAGGTATCAGAAGATAATGACACTTAATTTAAGCAAATCGTTCACATCGCCGAGTTACCAGGGGTGGTTTGTGATAAATAAAAGTATGAGAAATAACCAAGTATTATTAGAAATTACTAAACATTTCCTATGAATGATAAAAGTATGCGCATTGCCACTTCTGGCTAAGTATCCACATTCTGGGATAATGCAATGGAGTCAATAAAAGTAAATGCCCTCAAAACAATTCCTTTCCTTACCCGAGGGACACAGTCCTTTTTAAATCATACAAATATTGGATTATTATATATACTTTTTTTTTAGTTTTAGCAATGAACCAAAAATAAAAACCATATTTTTTACGGTTTTTCAATAGTAGTCCATGGATTTATGGAGATTTTGTTTTTTTTTATTGTATTCATAACAGCCGGTACCAAACAATAAAAACGGCTGAACGTGTCTTTTCAAAAATTTGAAAAATATATTATAATATTAGGTACTTATATAAAAAATATAGGTTTGTGATACATCAATGTAATCAGGAAGACGATGCATAAAAATCGACGTTGCATTTAAAAAATACCAACTTTGGGTCCAATCTCAGAAACGGAGGTCCAAAAATTTATTTTTACTACCCCTGTGTGTCCCCTAATTCATTGTAAACGTTTCGGAGTGATGCCCTTACGATGTAGCTTCCGTTATTGATAGGATTAGTCTTAAAACTGCAGTAACAACCGAACGAGGTGGCAAGATTTTTTGAAATTCACAGGAAATAAAGAGGTTTTGTTGACACTTTCCGCAAAGTTTGCCTGAAGAAATCTTGACAGGCAAGTAGTAATCAATATAAATGAAATCATTGGCAGGTCCGTGCCCGGAAAGTCTCTCTGATTTAAATGGGAAGAGTACAGGCCTAGACGAAGATGATGCACGCATTGTTATCCATACCTACGAGTATGACAAAGTACAACAAGGTAAAAAGAGCATCTTGGTAAAAAACAAAAGTTTTAAATGTAGTTGTTTTATGTATTAGCCTCATTTTCTTCCTGTAAAAAAAAGGTTTAAGAGAACTTTGGATCAGCTATGACTCGGGAAGTACCAGCACATTTTATAGCTAAAAAATTAGGTTAAACAAAGTCAATTGCTTTACGTGGCTTTCATGCCTGTACGGGGTGCGATAGCGTCTCATCGTTTGCTCTTAAATGCAAAAAGAGTTGCTATAAAATTTGGAAAGACAATCGTTACCATTGCATATTTTAAGAGCTTATTTGCAGGCTGAGCATCTGTGGGGTAATTTAAACATTATGAACCAAAGTCCTTCTCCAAAACATTGGGTTTAGAAATGGGCGGATGACCATTGGTTGCATATATGGACCATCAAGCCAGCAGTTTATGAAGCAACAGTAGAATGGACAGCTGCAGACAAGGTTGTTCTTCTGTAAATTGTTCATGCAAATTCTCAAATTTACGATGTACTTTTTTATACAAACATTGCACGATTTATCTGAAAATTGGTTGTAAATTTATGCTGGTTCATTGACTTTGAGGTTATATTTAAGCGGTTAGAGTTGGAGTAGAACAAATGCATGAATTGATAGGGAATTTTATGGTCTACAAAAAAGGTTTTGTGCTAAATTTTTTCTGTAAAATGCTAAGAACAAAAAAATGCAGTTTTAAGAGTTTCCACCCCCTCTCCTGATGGGAGCGTATCACCTTTCTAAAATTTCGGTTTGGTCCAATGGTCATCTGTTGTCATAATTAAATACTTTGATGTCTAGGTAATGAGGTAGTAGAAGGGGGCGGATGGTACTTTTTGAATATTTTTTTAGTCAACAATTTTTGTCATAGAGTTTCCTTTTGGGTGAACATTTTTTTGAGTAAAATATTTAGTGTTTTAGTGAAATAAAATCATTCTCTAAGGCTTTTTTTGTCGAATATAAAAATGTTCATCAACTTTGAGGCTATGTTTTACTGGTCGGAGTGGCGATAGAACAAAAGTTGTATGCTCTAAAAGATTTTTGAATAAAGGGCTTAGTTTTCCTATAAAATGCTCACCGTCACCTGCCAAAGGGAGGCGGACGGCTCCCCTTCTACAAATATATGTTTTGGGCCAATATATAAGTGTGCAAAGTGGGTTGCTTTAATCATCAAACGCCCTATAATTTCATGTAGGGCTAGGACTAAATTTTTTCACGGTATTTATGAGAATTGAAATAGGGGCTTTTTATTCCCTATTTTTGATATAAATTTTTACTATTTACATTAAAATGTGATATATTTTATTTTATATTATTATTATATATTATTTTACATAATCCAACAAAATTCAAATATCTTTAACAAAATGTATACTATTTTTATCTGCATTTTTGGGGTTTCACCCGAATACCTCCACGAATGTTAGATAGGAGAATAGCAATTGATACCACTTTTTTTCCCATTCGCATACTGTAAAAAGTCTCGTCTCCATAATTTGCATGGCTGTTGTTTAAATAGTGTATACAGGGTGTAGAAACAGTTTACGCACAATAGAGATTTCAATGCTAATTTCTTAATATCCAAATAACTTCTCCCTTAATTAATTAAGGTTTCTTGTAACTTGAAAAATTCTGCGTCTGCTAATGCCCTTATTTATTATTTTTCAATTCGGGAAACCGGAGTAATTAAATACATTAGAATTTATCATTTGCGTAAAAATCGAATTTTTGTTTAACAATTTCACGACCTTTATGAAAATGCTAATTTAGAATTTCCTTAATTTGTCCGATTTCCCACAACAAAAAATTACAAATGGGCACATAAATAGACGCAGAATTTTACAATCTATATTTATTTACAAATTGCTGTAAAATAATTTGGGGAAGAAAATTTCAATATAAATAAATTACCATTGAAATTCCTATGATGCGTAAACCTATTCTACACCCTGTATGTTCCCGGCTCATTACAATTCAGGTACTCTACATAATTGCTAGGAAATGTGTATAATAGAGGGAAGGCAAAATGTTTACACATCCCCGGCCCCTCGAACATGTCAATTTTTTATTGTCAAAATGAGGAGATCGCATTCTTTATCAAAGATGATCCCACGCTAAACGGCCGGAAGTGACTATAGGGGGTGGGTGTGACGAGTAAGTTGATGGTAGACGAAGACGTTTATTTTACAGAATTAAAGAGAGAAATAGGAGGGTTACCACCCCAAAGGTCAATAGAATCAAACTTCACTTTCGAGGGGAGGGAGCTGCCACTGCAGACTATTGAGCTACCCATTACTTTTGTGTTGTTGGGAGTATCTCCAAAATTTTCCCTTTTCATAACTCATTGCCCAAAAGCAAAGAACATCAGGCATTTGTAACGTAACCCCACTACAAATCATCTGAAAGAGTTTTTGTATTAACTTGTAGGTCCGTGACAGAGCCGGATTAATGCATAAGCAGACTAAGTACCCCCGCCAAAAAATAAGGGAAAAGAACAAAAAGAAACATAATTAATTTTAATTGTTAAATTACAACCCTGTGTGTATAGTATATGTTTACCGATCTGTACGTATTTTGCCAATTATAATTAGTCGCTGCAACGTAAAGAAAAAAAAATTCGTTAAGCCGCTTGTGGGCAAGAGTTGAAGAGTGCACTGTCAAATTTTGCTTTTCGATTTCAATAGCCTTTATGGACATTTCCTGCCTTAACGAGAATACAAACATGAAATAATTATTAATTTCTGACAGAATGACACCAATACCAAGCCCGTAAATGGTGTAGTTTCGCAGCCTTTGTGGCTCAGACAGACAGACAGATATCAAGAGCGAAAAAGTACACTTTTTATTTTTTTAAAGTGAAAGTGCACTATAAAAGGGGCCCCAAACATTCTCATTTCTTAGATCCTCGCAGGGCATTAATCCGGCCCTGTCCGTGTACGTATATTAATGGAAAAATTGTGCAAGTGACCTTGTCGACCGGTATTCGCTCATTCAAATATGTCGCCATTCGGCGAGAATCGATTATATGAGTAATAAAATCAGTCTTATTGCGACAGTGGTGGTTGATCAGTGTATTTTTAGGGAGAATATCTAGCCGGCGCCGGCGCGGCGTACGTGTTGTATTTTCACATCAGAAGCAGGATACATAATTAATGAATCTGCTAGGATATGGTAAAACGCAGTTCGAGTGACTCAAATGATAGTGATGGCGAAAGAAAAATTGAGGAAAGGTCAGTGACACGTTTAAAATCCTATGACAAAAATGTTTAAATCATAAAATTCCAAAATAATTTGGAATTAAGCAGAATCGGTACTTTAACGACAAATGTACACAAATTGCAGATTGCCACGTTTGAGGCCAAAATACTTGCAGATAGGTCTGACTAACACGCTCAATCGAGCTTTGAGTGTTGGACTGAGTGTCTACGTGTCCAAACAGCTTAAAGTGTCCGATGATAACAATATCCTTAAAGAAGCATGTTTGGTTTTGTTGAGAATCTACTCAATTGTTTATAAGGAAAGTCGCGAAAAGCTCAAGTGGAAAGATTCATTTAAGGTAGACAACCTGCAATTGGATTACTTTTATTGTAACAAATACAAATGAGATGTGGGTGGGCAGTTATTATGCAGCAAATTTTAAGGAAGGATTGCCAAAAACAAATTCTGTGAAACTTTTTTACATGGATAAGTGAATTAATACGAACGTGTCAGTTTGTTCATGATAAAGGTTT